TTTTTTGAAGTATTTTAATAATTAGCTAATATGACTTCACTATGGTATGTATAGTCCATTCCATTAAATCAATATTAATATGGTGAGTAAATATAACACAAATAGTGCTCTGGAGTTATAGCATCCTTATGATTTAAATTTCTTACTACAGAATTATAATAAATTTATTTATTTATTATTTTCGAAATCGAAAATACTTTAATTTTCCATTGATCTTCGTGGTCGATTGGACTTTCCTGCCAAGTCACTATCATTTTTTTTATTTAGTGGAATAGGCCTATAGGACAAACCACTTTTAAAAAACGCATCAACAGTAGCTCCTGGGTAATATGGAAAACTATTGACAAAATTGTAATTATTATAACATGTATTATTGTTATTATACAGGGTGTTCGGCTACTGGTGGGCATAATTTTAGGGGATGATAGCTGGGGTGATTCTGAACAACTTTTTCCTTTACCAAAATGCTGGTTAAAGCTTAGTTTTTGAACTATTAATGAAAAACACTGACCAATGAGAGCGCGTATAGACCGGTCGCGCGACAGCGTGAGCGACAGCTTCGAATATGACGGCCGATCGTCGTCGTGAACAAATGTATCGATACTGTCGGTATAACGTCGGTATAACGTCGGTATAATAGAAAGCTGTTAGATGAAAGTTATATTGAATAATGAATAAAAAAATCTATATTATTGTTGAATTATCATTCATTCATGAATAAGAAATAACAAAATTAGTCTCTACTCACGTAATCAAAATAAATTGAATTTATTCAATACGTTTATTCGTTATCGCAAAGAAATAATAGATAAAATATGGAAAATTATTTTCGTTAGATATTGTAATGATGAAAAAGAACAAATTCTCATTTTTAAAAAATTGAATAACTTTTCTATTCAACAAATAAAAATGTGAATTAAATAATTAACAGATTTAAATGTAGCTCACCCATTAAACCGCAAATAATCGCAATAAAAATGCGTCTCTGTCACCGGTCCGATCCACCGGTCCTTACTGTTAATATAAATCAATCACCATACAGAAACTCTCAAAAAACTCTCAAGAAACTTCATTGTCACCTATCACTTTCATCTTTCATTATTAGTTCTTATTATCAGCATCACGTGGGCAGTCTAGTGCGGGAGTGGGGGCACGGTAGGCATCTATGTACTCCGAAATCGGCCCGAAAAGTGCAACTAAATCCGAGCACTGCCCTAAACACATGACCCATATAATTTGCCAGTAGCTACTTCACAACACTTCTCATATGTTAATAGCCTGGCAATCATTCTACATAAATTCTATGAAACAGTTGGTTGGAATTCAAAAACGAGTATGCGAAAATAGAAAATATCACCAAAATAACATTTGAAATAAATTTTAGAGGTTGAGTGGTATAATATACAACCCGATTTCATTAAAAATTCAGTGACAATATTAACCCTGACAAATATTAATTATGAAATTAACAATAATTACTAACAGTACGAACACCTTTATTCCTGCAAGTTCTTATCTCTTTTATTTGTTTAGTATTGAAATATTCAAAATTACAGTCCATTTTTATTTCTTTCCTTGAAATAAAGATTTTCTACTTTCTACGTAATCAAAATAAGTGAAAGTTAGGTTACTTTAGATTAAGTTGGGTGGAGATGCAATGGGAGGGGTACAGTTTCTTCCCCATCTGTATATCCACTTCCACACTGAAACAAATAATTAATACAGTCAATATTATTAATACAATACCATGCTCATGATAAAGTTCAGGTTTCTGGGAAAATTTCAGTGTATACATATATTGATTTTTCTTTGTTAATAGCTTTTTAATAAACAATAACGACTTCAACTTTTTTAAATATTACTCGAGAGGATGACTTTTAAAGCGTGTGTCAAGATCAGAGTGATTGGATGTGAGGACTTTTCGGAAGTTTATCCGTAAGTACTTGCCTATCAATTGAAAACATTGGCATTGCCACTCAAGAGAACTGGTTCCGAAGACCGGATCGTTACATAAGAAACACCGCTCCTCATTAATCACAAAAATAACCTAGCCCTAGAATCTGACTAATTAATTACTGATTAGAATTCCTGAATTCGCTATCTATAACGACCAGTTTTCACGGACTAAATCGCTCGAATAAGCTATGCAACCTCGAACAAAACCTCGAGAATCTAAAGATCGATAGCACAGCGTTGAGAGAATATCTATGGCCCTGAGAGCCTTTTTGGCCGCTTTCAGCAAGGTTATTCCAAGTGCATTTCAACCTTGTCCCGGGAAGATCCTGTCTGAATTAGATCGAAAACTATTTTCGCTTGCAGCGTTTGATGCTCGTGTATCCCGACGAATCCCGAATTTTCCCTTTTACTTTTCAAGGCCTCATGAATTTTACATATGCTAGAGGTATAAATATATAAATTAAACTATTAGACACATATAAATTAAAATTTTTTGACTGCATATTAATTGATGAAAATAATACACGAAGACAATCACTCATAATATTCTTTGATTTGTAAATAAATAATAATTTACAATTTTTTACAGGCGTATTAAATTTTCCGTGCTTCTTTATAGCACGTGTTAAAATACAAACTAAACGCGGTTGGTAATTGACTCAATGAGCAATGATTTATTATACAGCTCGTCCCTCTCGCACGTCGCTCGACTTCAATTTCGTAAATTCGACTATGAGGTTCGATGGTTACAAAAATGCAGTTTTTACGAGTACAGCACTCATTATTAGACTTCACTACAGAGTAGTCAGTATTATAATATAGTATTTTTGGACGGCAATAAATAACATATGTTTAATATTGTCGAATTTTGGAAGGTGCAAGTTTGAGGCAGATACTAATGTAAACAAACACTCTGGCCACAAAAAATGAATGCGAAGCTATCACCATAACGGGTTTTCTTTGAAGAACCGTATTGATAGTCACTTCGATCCATTTAGTTGTTAACTATTCATAGGTATTTCGAAGTGCGGCTCGTTGTAATAAAAATTAACTTTTACTTGACAGACAATGCTTTAAATAAAAATGAATATTTGAAACTGTTAAAATAAAATTTATTCAAAAATGCAAATAATATGGTAACACTAAGTAGCTTCAAATTTTATTAGGAAAATAATCCAAAGCACATATTATTGGTTTTGTAAGTGTGCACGAATGGCGAGAGCGAATAAAAGGACGAATAAGTGACGAGTACTAAAGGATGTAAAAGAATGAGGAAAATGGGAATATAAAAGCGCATAAGCCGCTGGAAATCGGATATTAATTAAAAGAGCACGAGCGTGAGAGGGAGATTTTTAACTGTGAAGCCTGTATTCAATCGTTTGAATGCATCACTCTTTACTTTTCTTTAACACAAAGAGCTCCAATAGTACAGGAATATTTATTATACAATTGCCCAAAAGTTTTACATCCACTTCTAGAATCCCCAGATATACATGTAAATCCCATAGAAAGTCCATTGGATGAATTAAACGAAAAAAAAGAGAAAAACACGAATAAATTCAAAAGTTGAATTACAAACAATACTGAAAAAAGTGGTGTTCGGAATATTCGCAACAAATTTTTTAATATGTCAAAACGATTATATGAAGTTATTGAAGAAATAGCGTTGTCAACAAAATAATCCTTATATAATGTGCCACGTAATTTTTATATAATTCTTACAACTTTTACATACACAATAAATTGTTATTGTTCATATAGAAAATTCTGTTAGTATTTTACGCCGAAATATAAATTTACTTAAAAAAGGGCCATTTATTTAGTAATCAATAAAAACATAAATTGTTTTCAATAATGAATTGTTGTTTCATTACCATTAATTCACTAAAAAATATTGGTTTGTATAATCTTAATAAGATTTTCAATTAAATATTTATCAATTAATTCTTATACTAGGTTACATCAGTAAAGGATTTTGATATCTAAATTGTCAAATACTTTTTGTTTACTCTTTGAATTTGATTCATTAGCATCCCACATACATTTTCAACTATTTCTCTGTCCTTAGAATAAACCAACAATTTTAATATTTAAATATTGTGATTCATAAATTATGTTGCGTGTCTGCGCTAGCATGAATTCTGCTATCCTGTTAAAATGTCACTATTTTCTGAGCAAACGTGGTTATAAAATTTCTTTATATTTTTGAGTATTCCTACTTGCTTAGAATATTGGTTTTTAAATGCACTGAAAATTTTAGCACCATTTCATTATCTGCAAAATTATACATTAGATGATATTTCTTTCTTCGTTTGAATATCGTGCAAGTAAGAATTAAAATTATTTGGTCCATCTAAAATGAATATGTATTTTCGTATCACAGATGATCTAGAAAATCATTACTATAAATTGCGATTATATTTTTCTAAACGCGCAATTTTGATGCAGATAATGTCTCAAAACTGGGAATTTTTATTGTGAAGATGAATAATGAAAAGCATCGAGGACCTTTAGAATCATATTGCCTTGTTTATTTTTAAAAAGGACGATGATATAACTTTCGCATACTTCGAATATAGATATCATTAAAAACAAGGAATACATACTTGTAAATTCAATGTACAATGAAAAAAATTATTCGACGTTTCAACAATTAAGGGCCGTCAATGTTAAGTAGAGAATTTATAAAAGCTTAATCGACAACTACTTCAGAGTCTTGAAAACTCAATTATCTGCAGTTAATTAATCGCAAAGTAATAGTGATTGATTATTAAAAGCAATATATATCACATTTAATTACTAAGTAAGTAAACTTATGCAAACAACAAACAGAATTTTCCATAAAAATTGTAATAATTCATTATAAACGTAAAAATTTCGGAATTTCACATTGTTTCTCTTGTATTATTAAGTGATACTGCAGAGGGGAAAAATAGTATTTCTCATAATATGTTATATATAAATAATAGGAATAGAATAAATTTAAGTTTGTTTTGCTGCACGAAAATATTATCCAAATTAATTTAACTTCACTTCTGTTTTAGCGACGGAGAAGAAATTCGAGCTTGTGTATAGGAGGAAGGTCATAGATGATAAAGATGGAGTGGAAATATCGTGTATAGCTGAAGGACTATATCCAGAACCGACACTTGATATCTCCATCGAGTAAGTATTGTAAAAGCTATAGTAAATTTCACACGTTTAGATTTTAATAAGTACAGATTTTTCCTGTTATTTAATAATTTATGCAATTTATATATTCAATGCATCACGATTATTGTTTCTTGTCTTCTGACAAATAGCAACGAAATATTTTTAAAAATTCGTTATGTTCTATGAATTCTATGTATAGCGAAAAGTTACTTAATTTTCAACGTCTATAATATTTTTATGAAAAATAGTGTTGTCATAGTCCCCATATTAAAAAAAAATATACTGATCGAATTGAGTAACCTCCTCCTTTTTCGAAGTCGGTTAAAAAGAAAAGGAGGTGTTTCGGAGTGGCTGTAGAGTATTCTCTCCGTAAATGTTACAACTGCCGGTCTCGATTGTAACATTTATGGAATAGGCACTACATTCTTTGTAGTGAGCCGAACATAAAAAAAGACAGCAACACAGAAGACAAAGAGGGACTGAGATTCGGCAAACATGAAAGTCTCGTGCGTGTTCTGTCTTTTACATTCAAAAATCAAAATTCTTTATTTTTGATTTTTCGTGAATGAAACTTTGATTATCGTATTCGTCTCGTTTTTTCTGACTAAAATGGTACCAAACACGGTATAATTAAAATCATAATTACTTGTATAGCAAGCCGTTAGGAAGAATCCGTATCTCTGCCGTAAATGTAAAGTTTGTCGTAAGTGTTCGGCCGCAAACCGAGACCTTTGCCGCGACTAAGGTCTTCGACGCGTAGACCACCGTGAATAGCTTATACGTCGAAATACAGATCACTGAGGACCCTTTTGTCTATTAAGTCGTATTCGAACCAGTCTTAGCATGTGCTTGCCATAAATCTGCTAACAGCTATACCTTTCTTTTTTGAACAGTTTTAACAAACAAAAGCATAGAGTTTTTCTTAACTGTTACTTTCGGAAACGCGAGGGTGTTCAGGCGTTTTTTCTACATCAAAAAGATACAGTCGAACGTTGAATCTTGTGCGGGTCGGATCGAGAGTCAAGAAATTCCGCGTAACGTAAAAAAGAATAACCATTGCAGGGTGGTTCGCAGATCAATCATAACACTATTCGAGCGGGACCCTGCACTCCTCGAATAGGCCATTTGTAGGGTGGTAAAGATCATACATTACACACTGTTCGAGTGGGACCCTACACTCCTAGAACAGGCCATTTGTAGAGTGGTAAAGATCATACATCGCAACATTATTCGAGTGGGACTCTACACTCCTCGAATAGATCATCGTGAATAATCTTACGCAACGTGGATTATAACACGAATCGAAACAACATTGAGCGAGACCCTGTGCTCCTCAAATCAAATCAAACAACATTGGGCGAGACCCTGTGCTCCTCAAATCAAATCAAACAACATTGAGCGAGAGCCTGTGCTCCTCAAACCAATCAATAATCATACTCAACAACATACATAACGTACATGGTGTGTTCCGAAAGTAATGAGAATGAAATTCCGACGCCGCTCCTGTTGGTCGGAAGGGAATGAGATCACGTGGGTTAGGTGCGGGGGAACCTAAGCTTTCCAACGAAACCGGTCCCAGAGCTCTCCGAGCTGTAAAAGGGACAGGACGTGAATTTTTGTGACCCCGTGTTTGGTGACCGTGTCACGGAAAAAGTGGCGTCGACGATCGGAACAATGTTACGCGATAATGCTTTTGAGCTAAACTAAACAAATCTCTTGAAGAGACAACTAAAATGATTCGTGAGGCTTATGGAGACTCTGTTCTGTCGTACTCACAAGTTTCGAAGTAGTTAAAAGCCTTTAACCCTTTGAGTTCTATGGACGCATATATGGGTTTGGCGAAAGTCATCCGCGTGGCCTAAGGCCGCATAAATGGGTTTTCTCTAAGTCATTGGCGTGGACTAAAGGCGCATATATGCGTTTGTCAATTTTTTCGATCAATATGCAGTCACTTTCGTGTAAAATTAATACAGGAATACTCGTTAGTAATTTGCTTTCATCAGAAATAGAATATAGTGATTTACTATCATCAGACAGTTAATCAGAAGAATCAATCGATGAAAGAAGAACAAATAGAAAACGGCCCAGGAAAGCGAAGAAATATTCCGGGCCCAGCGATGGTCAACGCTAGCCGCGCTCCATCCCTACGGACCGTTTCGGCCAGAAGTATGCAGAGCTCAAAGGGTTAAGGAAGGGCGAGAAGAGGTTCACAACGATTAACGCTCTCGACGGCCATCAACCAGCAAAACAGTCCGTCAAACAGTCCATAAAGAATTTCTTCCTGAAAAACAGATAGTTAACACCGCCTACTACGTGGATGTGCTGGAAAGACTGCGAAAAAGGGTCGTCAGGACGAGAAAACACATCTCCGCTACGTGGATAGCGCTTCACGACAACGCGCTGCGAGTACGTGAGTTTCTGACCCAAAACAAGGTGTTAACGCTTCTCCAACACCCCTATAGTCCTGACCTGGCACCGGCAGACCTTTTTTTGTTCCCCCGGATCAAGACACCCTTGAAAGGAACGCGTTTCTCGTCGATACAAGACATCCAAGCGGTCGCGACCGAGGCTCTAAAAGCGGTTCCGGAAAACGCATCTCAGGACGCGTACCGTTCATGGCAGGGTCGTTGGCAAAAATGTATAGAAGCCCAAGGGCAGTACTTTGAAGAATTTTGAGTATTTGTAAGAATTGGTTCAATAAATTCCTTTAAAAAAAATCATTCTCATTACTTTCGGAACACATCATGTATAAATACTCATTCACATTTTCACCGTGCAATCATTAACAAATACATATTTTGCAAAGGGTTTTTTATGTCGCAAGTTTTTTATTCGAGCCAATAAATTATCATGATTTTTCAGGCTCAATTCTGTCTAAATAATTTTTATTTACCCTCCTCCTCAATCAAATTCATCCATTCTTCTGAAACACGAAATCTCTCCATGTTGGAAAGATTTCGACAATACAGTCAGTGTGAAACCTGTGAGGTTGGTTTTTACAATAGGTTGGTATAAGTGGTGTATAAATGAGGTTGGTAAGAGTGTAGAGTGAGTGAAATTGGTGAGAGATATTTTTTGGGTTGGCTGAAGTGGAAAAGAAAAAGGATGAACCGGTGTGTGAAAGATGTCCGCGGAGTATATCGTTTGTAAGCATTAAACTTTAAAATTCAAATTATGTTTATTAAATATATATAAATATAAATATGCATATAAAGTCGTCAACAACATTATTTCCCCCACAAAACCCAGAAACTTTTATGGCTTGTTACATAAGTAATTACGATCGTAATTATATCGTGATTAATGTCATTTTAATCAGAAAAAACGAAACAAATACGATAATTAAAGTTTCATTCATGAAAAACCAAAAATAAAGAATTTTGATTTTTGAATGTAAAAGACAGAACACGCACGAGTCTTTCATGTTTGCCGAACCTCAGTCCCTCTTTGTCTTCCGTGTTGCTATCGGTTTCTATGTTTGGCTCACTACAAAGAATGTAATAGCTATTCCATAAATGTTATAATCGAGACCGGCAGTTGTAACATTTACGGAGAGAATACTATATGTGTAATAACCATGAAACGTGAAAGCTTTCTGTTAAATAACGAGAAAACTAATACTTCTTATAGTTATTATATAACAATAAAAACTTCTCTTATTCAGTATATATTCTGTTACAGTAATAGCGATGCGGTTGTAGAAAAATATGATTCATAAAAACGTCTAAACGATAAAAGAAACATATGTCTTATTGTAACTCCATAAACCTTCTATAGGAAATAGGCGGTGAAATGAAATAATAATGCTGAACTATGTTTTAAAAGAAACTTTAATTTAAATTGTGAAACTCAGAAAAGCACGTCTTTACTGATCGAGGAGAACATTAAGAATAAGAAAAGTCGTCGAAGGAAAAATCTGTCACGAGTCTATAGACCCTATGGGTCCTATAGTGAAAAACAAACATCGGCATCCTCTTGAGTCGAAGTGACAGTTTACGACCCGATGATTTTTGTATAAGGAAACACTTAGTTTTTGTTGAATAAATCTAACACCTTCCAATGATAACAATAAAAACCGCGAATCTCGTTGCACTGTTATTTGTAATAATAATCTCGAAACGTGCAAACTGCAAATAGCTGTAAAACACAGATTTTATACACTTGTCGCGGTCGGTATATTGACAAGCTTGAATATATATGTACATATTAATGTCTATTTTCACTGTAATGTATATGTATATGTATATGTATATGTATATGTATATGTATATGTATATGTATATGTATATGTATATGTATATGTATATGTATATGTATATGTATATGTATATGTATATGTATATGTATATGTATATGTATATGTATATGTATATGTATATGTATATGTATATGTATATGTATATGTATATGTATATGTATATGTATATGTATATGTATATGTATATGTATATGTATATGTATATGTATATGTATATGTATATGTATATGTATATGTATATGTATATGTATATGTATATGTATATGTATATGTATATGTATATGTATATGTATATGTATATGTATATGTATATGTATATGTATATGTATATGTATATGTATATGTATATGTATATGTATATGTATATGTATATGTATATGTATATGTATATGTATATGTATATGTATATGTATATGTATATGTATATTATGTACATATGTATATTATTACTTCTGCATACAAATCTTAGAGTTTCTATTTAAAGTTGAAAATAAATTAACGAGTTCGAAATAAATGTTACGAGTTCAATAATACGTGATATTAAGATTTAATAACTCAGTATATGTGCAATCTAAACTAGCACATAAATAAATAACATTTTGCTAAAATATAAGTTTTTAAAATCCCTTATGTGGACAATTATCTGGATATATTAAAAAACACTTTTAAAAGCTTTTGTAATATTTTGTGTAAGTGTATCTACAACGTTAGTTCTTAATTGCTAACCAAATGTACTCAATTCGGATTTGAAGCTTATTTTCTTGGTTCATCCTAAAGTAGTTTAAAAGCAGATACACGAAACGTAATAATGCATATGATAACGACATAGTATTACTGAAATAATATTAATACACAAAGACCGCGTGTTCAGTTGATACATCGTATGATATTTTGGTTTTCACGTGACGAAGATAATATTGCAAATATCATTTCCATTTCAGGGGTGTTCCAGACAAGACGCCAGGGAAGTCCGATCTTGCGCATCAAGTTTGGTCTGGACTGTACGATATCTTATCACGAAGGGTCATACTGGATGAAGATTTACCAGGAGCAGCGATTGTCAAATGTGTGCTCGGTATACCAGCGGCAAACTACAGTGTTTCTCATGAAACTGTCTATTATCCCGGTTAGTTGTCCTTTGACTGCAAATTTTTCACGTTTGACCTTTCCCGTAGTATAAAACGAATAAATGTAGCGATTCACTGCTTTCTACTCGAGAACAGAAAATATAATTTTTATTGCATGAATTATTAATATTTTATTTCTTTGCAATCAATGTCAATCCTTTAACTAGTTCCCGTTGTTCCCGTTGTTCATTCATTCAATTCATTCTGTTGTTTTAAAGTAAGAAAAGTCGAAACAGACTAAATGCTTATTTTGGGCTAATTATTCTGCCATTCCATTTCAGAGCATAACAGATTTTTACGTTGATTTTGAGAATATAACTGTTATGCTGCATGATACGTTATGCCTTACAATGTAGCAAATATGAAATTATTATAAACAACGATTTCGTGTTCGAGGCGAATATATTAAAAAGTTACAATCAGCTTCAAAATAGACGACTAAAATTTTGAGATTTTTATGACATAATTTATAGTCTACATTTAGTAAATATGGTCCAGTATCTCTGTGGTATGTTGGCTGTTAAGCGGTTCGCAACATCAGAGATTCTGTTTTTCCGTTACCTGTCCGTATTTTTACAAATTAACCGTCTGGTTACTATCACCGATAAAGTATATGTGCAGATATTTCACTTAATGGACTCTTGTGCTTCACGTAATATCATACCGACCTGGAAAATGGAAACTGGTTCGAGCGTTTTTAATGTTCATGGTAGTTAGCATAGAATTATTTATTTTTCATCCTTTTCTTTTTTCTCTAAAAATAATAAGCGTTTAAACTCTAAATTTTAGAGCGTTTGGAAACGCTATGAGTGGTATGGAAATTTGCAATTAGTCTCTATGTAAATACATTAAGCAATAGTGGAAACTAGTTTGATTTACGTATCGTACTTCAATATTTAAAAACAAATAAATTCAATAAATTACGGAAACAAGTATTTAAAAATGTGATGTATCAACATTTCGATAGATTACAGATACGTGCTTAACTATAAGCGATATAGAAATATATGCAAAATATAAAATTATTGTAGTTTATATAAGATAGATATAGCAATTTATGGTTCAACAAACAATAGTATAAAATTTATACTATAAATAAACAAGTTGCAACAATTATATTAATTATGAAAGTAATTAATTTGAACAGTTAAACGATGTCGCGGCTGCGAATTAAATTATTTAATAATAATATAAAACTAAAGAAGATATAACCTGTTACGTGCGATGGTACATTTGAGGTTAGGATTTCGAAAGTTTATTTATGATCGGTCCGTTAGGCAGCCGTTTTTGAGCTAAAATATTTCGGGTTTTTCCAGTTCTTAATTTTATTCTATGTTCTTGCCATAAATTTAGAGTTAATTTTCGCTTCATCCTCAACGGCCACTTCTCGATCATAAACACGGTTTTTTTCTGAAGGGTACTTTAGAAATGGTCACGTACGGACCTAACGGTAACTTATGGTCGCCAAATGTACCTAGAAGAAAAAATCGCGGCATTGCCGGACGATCGTGGTCCTCCCGCCAACTTTCCGGATTTCCCATCCTTCGTAGATGAAGATGCTCCAAAGGAGTTATGAAGGGTGGTCCCAATCGTCAAGGAAGCACGTTGATTGGAATTTTGAAAAAAATGTAAAATTCAATCAGCGTACGATCTCCGTCTCCGCCGCGTCGTCTTCGTAGGAATCAAGACGACAACGAACTAACACATTCAAATCAAACGTCGAAATAGAAAAATCAAATCAATCGTTTGGACAGTGATCAAACAAGCGTTTTCAACAGTAAAATCCATCGTGCGGGACTTAGAAAAAATAGAAATCGAACTCTCTCCTGAGACAGCCACCAGCAAGCCATCGTTCGGACTTATTGTTAGTGACACTTGTATTATTTTACGTTACTCGCAATCGTTCAAACGAAAAGAACTGGCAACGTGCGGCCAACCCTTGAACCAGTTGCATTTCAATTAATTTTGAAACCAACGCGCCGTAAATAGACAACGAGTCTAAATGATAGGTTGAGCTTTACGCTCTCAGCCGAGGAATTTAATTCGCGTTTCTAATCGCAACAGGCGGTCGTTCATCGCGAAACTGTCATGAAACATAACCCAAATAGTTAATCGCAAATGAGTAATCTTCCAATTTACAGCGAAATTTTTATCACCTTATTTTCGACAGGAAATAAAAAATGTTTAAGGTCTTGTTGAGATCAGTAAAATGCGAATATTAGTACTAATTAGCATTCACAAATATTTGTTGTGATACAAACAAATAACCATTAACGTGCTTGGACGTTGACTAAGGAATAATAATTTATGTTTTTAGATATTCTTATTCGAAGGGAACCAAATCATTTCATAAAAACTTAATTGTACAATTTCTTTACAAATATCTAAATCATATTAATAAGTTTTGGCGGTTAAGCTAGATAAGATAGGGAACTAGGAAGGAGAGGCAGAACGTTTCGTCCGGGTCCTGCTAGTGGACTCATCAGTAAGGCGTTCTAGCAGGCCCTTGCCTTAACCGCGGGAATGTAAGGAAGGGATGGACAGGAACTATATATATGAATAGGAAGGCTCTTTGAGTACTAGTGAGAAAGTCTAGGTCTCGATCTTATGCGCTGTCTAGTGGCGATGAGCGTGGGAGTGAAACCGCCACAAAATAAACAAATAAGAAAATAATTGTATATAACTACGAAATTTCATTCTCTTGTCTCATCAAAGAGGTGTGTGTACACTGAATCTTGTTACTGATTGCACTTATGATTGCATTACTCGCTATTGTAGCAGGAAGTTTTTCAAAATTACCAAGTTCTAATTGCTCTCGAGAGTTTTCTATTTACAAATAAGTAGAGAGAATATGATCAATTTAGCAGTGTCACTGGAGATTTCAAGAATAACGAAAGTTATATAAATATTATAAAAACTCTGTTATCAATTGCCCATGTGAAATTAGGGGGGGTTTAAGTCATCATTTTGCCGGTTTCGAATTTGTTAAGGAATGGCAAGCTTTCAAATTTCGCAATTTTTGCCCATTTTGGCGAAAATAGGGTTCATTTAGGAATTTCTTTCTCAGAAACTACTTAACCGATTTAGGTAAATTTTTTTTTGTTTTATTCATGAAAAATTGGACTACTTTAAAATATTTTTTTTAACTTTGTCAATTTGTTATAAAATGCCGCAAAATTTAAACAAATTCCTTTTTTGCGTTTTTCTCAATGAGGGGCGTAAAGGGTTAAAATTAAAAAAAAATATGGTCATATTTTTTGAAGCTTCCCCTTTAAAATGAGCCCTTCAGAACGATGGAACCTCGAAAATTGACGTCTCTACAAGCTGGAAAAGGACGCGGGGTACCCCCGTTTCAGGTAGGTGACTGGCGCGCTCAGCTATTATGATCGGTTATTTTACATCACTGGCCTCAAAATTATGCAAGAAGACTTTGTACATGATTAAATGACCCTGTTAATATCTTGAAAAGTATATTAGTAACCGCTCTTGGTCAATGACACATTTTTTAATTGTAATTTCATTTATAGATATTAGTTCCTACATTTATTATTTAAGTTCTACAAGAAACGTATTAATGCTCGATGGAAACGACAAGAAAAGGGCTGTTTTCTTCAATCGGGATGGGATAAGGGGAATTATGATCAAAAGTATGGAGTGCACCATTGTGTGGGGTGGACTTAAGAATTGTAGCAGAAAAATGTAATGACAACTATTTCATTACACTAAACACTGTGCTATTATTATCGTACGGGCAAGTTTTACATAGCATTTGCTTATTTGATAATAGCATAAAGCTTTGAAAACTTCTATTGGCTATTATTCATAATGCCGTAAAAAAGCGAGTTTGTAAACAATCAGCCTGTTTAATATATTCACTTTAATATATTGTGCCCATTCAAATAAAACTTTTGGGTTGAGAATTTGATTTTCTAGCGATCTTTGTAAGCTAGCGTACATTGCAAAACTTTTAATGCTCCCTTCAGTAGGTACCATAGCATAGGCCCCCTATCATGAGTTGTACGAGAATGCCATTTTGCGAAAACACCGAAATCGCTTAAATGATTAGTTGAATTAATAAAACTCTTTTTGCTTTTATATTACATAGCTGTCTCGTCATATAAATGAAATTGAATCGACTTCATTCGCGTGTGGAAGCCATGGATCTAAGAACCTATAAACGGAGCCCACGACGCGGGAATTACCAAATTAGCGGCAGATGGGCTCTATCTTTATAGCATATGCGGCGATCGAGTCTTTCCGTCGCATACTCTATGAATCTAGATAAACCATAGTTACATTCTATATGCACTAACACCTACTTCGTGGCTTGCTGACGAGTTATATGTATAGAAAAAAAATAGCTACACAAGCTTTGCCTATGTTCGACTGTCCAAAGGTTGACATGTTCAAGAAAATCTTTTAATTTTGCGCCGCCTCCGAAAAGGTTGAAATGTATTTAATATACTACGAATGCCATTTTGCAAAAACACCGAAATCACTTAAATGAATAGTTGAATTAATAAAACTCTTTTTGCTTTCATATTGCGTAGCTATCTCGAGAGATATGTTTTCTACAGCCTAATGACTTTTACTCTCTTACTATTTTCAAACCGATAACCAAACAAATAGTTCACGCTTATATCACTTTAGGATTAAATCTAACATAACTATAAGTGTATCATTGGCCAAGAGTGAGTACTAATATACATTACTAGGTATGAACATTTAGTCGTATACGAAGTCTTGTCGTATTGTTTTGAGACCGGTGGTATAAAAAAACCGATCATAATAGCGAACCACACGACTCACTTACCTGAAACGAAGGTACCCCGGGTCCTTTTCCAGCTTGTAGAAGCGTCAATTTTTGAGGCTCCATCGTTCTGAAGAGCTCATTTTAAATGGGAAGCTTCAAAGAATATAACCGTATGTTTTATAAATTTTAACCTTTTACGTCCCTCATTGAGAAAAACGCAAAAAAAGAATTTGTTTAAATTTTCCG